ATCTCACTCAAGGCATGGATGTGTGTGCATTTATTCTGCATATAGGTAGTGGCCTTGTGATGGGCTGATCCACTGTCCAAGGAGTCCTACTGTGTATAGGATTAAGAAATGAAAAAGTGGCCCAGGTCCAAATGGCTGTAGAGCCATAGAGAAAAAAGTGTAAATTGAATTGAGACTAACAGGTTAAAGAGTTTCTGGTAGAACTTAATGATATCTGCTCTCCTGAAAATGGTGAGGCTAGGAGGAACTTTACATTAATAAAATACAACTTAGGGATCCATTTCTGCACATAACTTGCATGAGTGAAAATTCCATTTTAAAGTTACCCGATGTAATCCTTCATATATTTAGTATTACTATAGGATTCTGACGATGGTGTATAACACACTGATATGTTGGGTTTTTGGACTTTATCCATCGTCCTGGTTTTTAAGATAACAAATAAAAACACGACGTTTCGGAAACTGGATCTGTTTCCGTCCTCAGGTGAAGGAGAACACCTATTCAGTTGGGTCCGTTAGACTGGACCAGGTCCAGTGATTGAGGCTAGCTCTTTCTAACGGACCCAACTGAATAGGTGTTCTCCTTCACCTGAGGATGGAAACAGATCCAGTTTCCGAAACGTCGTGTTTTTATTTGTTATCTTAAAAACCAGGACGATGGATAAAGTCCAAAAACCCAACATATCAGTGTATATTTAGTATGTTTGTAATCGATAACCCTTGGAGTTTGTGAGATTCATGAAAGTACTGTCATATGCAATATTCAGTAGGACATGACATCCCTAGGAGGACTAGTGCTAAGGTTAAGAATGGTGGAACTGTATGTCCACTTCTTACATCTTCATGGTATAATGCTTAATTAAGTATAAGAATAACTTTGCCTAACACTGGATGTGGCACTGCCTATGCTGAACACATTTTTTTGGTTTTTCACAGTCCCTGCAAACAAATGCCAGGATAGGGCCTCAAATCAAGCCATGCCCACTTCTTTCCATGTCCTTGCCAATTCATTATTCATTGCTCATTTTACCATTTGATGGTACAGAGTCTGGGCTACAGTCAGCATTGCTAAATGAATCATGCATAGAAAATAAAAATGATGCACACCTGTGATGCGTCAAATGCTCATTTATAATATACAAACTGGGAAAGTTGTGTCAAGGTGTGATGCTTCTGACTTTTATTCAGATTTGTGGTTTGAATCTTGGCCAGGACAGTGGCTATCCAGAAGGGGTTTCCATGGATTTCTGTTGTCCCTCCAGGCAAGTGCTGGGAAAGTGCATCATGTATGGAACAGTGCAACTACAGTAGACACGAGTATGGCTTACAATGAAAACTTTATTACAGTGACAAGCCTCCACTGTCTAGGGGAGACGACAAATTATCTTCCAGAGTCTCCAGAGTATATATTTGAATAAGAGATTTTACTTGATCTTGAAGCAGACGTGCTTAGCATACGTGCACACAGCCATCCTATTATGTTACTTAAAAACATCAGCCAACTCCTCAAACTGTCATAGAAATTGCAGTGGGGGACAGTGTTTTAAGAGTTCCATTTAGCATGACTTGACAGCAAAATCAGGTGTCCCACCCCTCAAATACCAGCCAATGGGAAGTGTCCATGACATAATCTAAACTTGTTCTTAGGCCAGTAGCTTGTTTCATTGTATAGTGCTCTGTGACTAGTCAGTGGAAGTTGAAAATGTTTCTTTGATTGACCTGTGTGTTCTTCAGAAAGTATTTAACCCTCATTATGACACAAAAATGGTAGTGCTTAAGACGCGAACACGAAGTTTGAATACATCTGGATGAAATCGCTGGCTTGTCAAAAAGCAAAATTTGAAGATAGTATGGTTTAGCTTCTCTGATATTGTTCACTATTTTAAAGAATACATATGAAATTCAGTCAGTTCTGTGTAATGGAAGACAACTGACACAGAAAGAAATATTGGCTGTCATATTTGTTGCTGGGCCAATAATCAAGGCAAACCCAACATCTAATGGCATGCTTGAAGATCGAGAACATTCACTGTTCTCTAAGGAGAATCTAACTCAAGTACTGGCATTAGTATGCACAAAGTGCTGGGTCACTTGGCTGCATTTAACATACATACATGTGAGTCAGCTGGACGTCTATTTGTACGAGGCGACTCCTAATATGGAAATAGTTGCAAATACAAGAGATATGTAAATTATAAAATCTTAAACTTTTCATTGAAGATAATGGTAAGGATACCAAAAATGCTAAATCCTTCATTATTTTGGCATGTCCACTTAAAATAATAAAATTTCCATTAATTGTTTCAATCCATAGTGCCATATTGGGATAGACGCTTGAAGATATTTTTCTCAGTGAACTCGGAAAAGTACAGTAGACTCTGGATTATCTTAATTAGATTATCTACTTTGTGCATTAATCATGGAAGTGTAGAATCTCTTATTTACAGACACTAGCTTCCCATAAACATATGCGCTGTTCACTACATCTGTTCCAGTATATGTACATGAGTGGCTATAAAATAACCGGCCTGATGCTCTAAAATCTGTTATTCAACTAATCACACGATGGAAATGCTATCACCTTCAAAGTGGTCCCCTCCCTGACCTCCACAAAGCTCCATGCGAATTTTACACTGTTTGAAGTAATGCTGCAGGTCCTTTCCTGATAACTTCTTTATTACCTCCATTGCCTTTGCCTTCACTGTATCTACAGACTCAAAACGGGTTCCTTTTAATGTAGACTTGATCTTTGGAAATAAAAAAAAAAAAATCACACAGGGCTTGACTTTGGATCTTTTTTTTTTTTTTTTATAAGCATGTCAAGTCAAATAAATGTTCATGTTTCCTTTTGCTCAGGAGTGAGGATTCTCGGCACCATCTTTGAACACGCTTTTAGATGTTAAAATGTTCATGTAAAATCTGTCAGACACTTTCTTTATCAATGTTAGCACCTGTTTTTGTCATGTAGGGCTGACCGGGACGTGGATCATCTTCAGTCTCTCCCCTTCCCTCTTTTAAATCTTTCGAACCACTCAAAAACTTGAGTACAAGATAGACATTCATCACCATGAACTTCCATCAACAAACTGTATGTTTCTGTAGTGGGTTTTGCAAGGAATTTCACATTGACACTGTGGGAACTGCCCACATTCAAGCAAGTGTGACAACGCAAGCGTCATTGCTTAGCTGTACTTTAACACTTAACATAACTCTGACAGAGCTGAAATACACGGTCCACTTCAAACAAAGGCTGCTACCACACTGTTGGCCGTATGGACTTGGAAGTCGTAGGGTTGACGGAGAGGAGAGGACACGCTAATATGCCACCCCGCTCACTGTTGCCAAGACCACGGAGTCGGCAAAATATCAATCTGGTTCTTCTATAGCTGCTCCATGTATCAGTGATGCTTTACAGTGATATGCAGTACACTGTAAATCACATCCTACTGCAACATTTCTGTTTTATTATTTTATAGCTTTTATCACTGAACAAGGGTTGCTTCTGTTTAGTGATTAGCAGTGGGACTAGTAGGTTGTAGTCTGCAGTTCAATGCAGGTTTTAATTTCTCAGATTTCATTAGATACCTTGTTTACTAGAATATATGATGATCTCATCTTTAAAGTCTTCACAAAAGAAAAAAATATTTGTTTTAAAGTTGACAAGGTTTTCTATATGGAGCTGACACACTTTTAATCATTTTTCAGTTTCTACCAGTGCTGGATATTTACTCCAACACTGAATATTTGTGCTTCAGCATCACTGTTGGTATCTTGTGTGCTTTGTGACCATTAGTTTTAGTTCACATTATAACTGCAATGTACAACTTTCAATATCTGTGATACTTTAGAACCTCTCTTCTGAGCATCATTACTTCCAATTTATACCAAGGTACTCTTAATTTTTCTTTCAAGCAAGTGGAGGCATAATATGTACATGTACTAAAGCTTTGATCTCAAGAATGCTGCCAGCATAGTGGGCTTACACTGCACTTTGTTGGCCTTGAACTGAGAGACAGATCACTACAGAATCAGCAAAGAAATACTTGCGGGGTATGGCTGGTAATGTAAAAAGAGTGACTCCAACAGGGTATTTTCTAAGTACGTGAATGTGAAATGACTGTATGACTATTACCTAAGACATGTCCAAGCAGAAAAAGAAAACATTTGGGTAAATACTGTATTTTGATTTTCTGTTGTTTTTAATTATTTGTGATACTTCTCCCTCCATCACTACATATAATCTAGAGCTTGCTGTATGTTAAAAACTGATAGATAACTCAGTGAAGAGACATGTTGCAGACTAGACAGGCAGGGTTCAAGTCCTGATAGGAGATATTTTTCTCTCCAAGTAGTTCAGAATGCTGTGGCCCACTTAGCCTGCTATTTGAAGCATGCTGGTAGTTATTTCCTTGGGCAAAATGGTTGCAGTATGTAGCTGACAACACACCTTCATTCGTCACAGATTGGTGAAACTGTAGTGGGCATTTTGGCATAAATGAAATGACTATGCCCAACACACCAAGTGTATTTATTAAATTATTTTGGTAAGTATATAACAATAGTCCTGAATTGGTGAAGGTTTTAGTTCAGATCAGACTGGCAGATTTTAACCTCCATATAAACATTTAAATAAATAAAAATACTATCACAAGTTAGTAGTGGTCTTTTCAACATATACTATTCAACTCACGGGAAGTATTAAATACAATTCATGCCTCGGAGGTATTTTTGGTGATGTCGGTGTTTCCTGCGCGTGTAATAACATATGCTCATTATTGACAACATAACAACTATGCTTCTGCGTGTGTGTATATATATCTATATGAGATAATTATTACAAATTTATTGATCTTGAAAGTAAAGTATCATAAGATCATCTTGCATGATTTTCAAAACAAGTTACATATTTATAGACTTCCAGACAACAAAAGAGTGGTTTCGGATGTGAGCAGTGCGTACTGTTATCAATGTGGCATATGAAAGTGCATAAAACAAATGTTAAAAATAATGAACTTTATGGTGTAAGTACAGAAAACCAACACAAATATCACATGGAGAATAATCTTCGCTGTTTCATAACTACTATTGACAACTGGGATAAGAAAGCATCACTGATCTTGTAATCAAAATTATTGTAATTACAGTATTACAAAATCACATACTACTTCACTCTTAATTTTTGTATCTATTAGTCAATATAACTATTTCATAGTAAGAAACAGAAATTTAATATATAATATAGCTTTTATGGTTACTTAAATGAGTAACTTAGAGTATAAATAAATATATATATATATATATATCTTGCTATTATGTGATACAATAAATGTAAATAAAGGACAGCTATTTCCATCATAAGGCATTCCCTCTAAGCCTGGCTTGAAAAACAACACCTATTCAGGATTATACACAATCTGTTAAAAAAAACATATAGGTATACAAGCACATAATACAATACAATGAAGTAACACAGACACCATCCATGTCTATAATTTAAATGAGCCAGACATATCTAAAGTCCTGCCTACCAAAGATGGCTGTAAAATAAGGACACGTTTTAACAATATTAGAAAGTGCCCTTTTAGGTTGTTTTTAATAAATTGAGTCATTCTAGTTTTTTAAATAATGTCTTTCCAATATCACGAGTAATTCATAAATACAAGTTCATTTTTTATGTCTTTGTTTGGTTACAGAGAATGTGAAGAGACTGTATTAAAGCTTCTGATATCAGTTTCTAACCTCTACTGAGAGACTTACTTAGCCTACAACGAGTATGCACAACTACTTAAAGCCACACATCTAAGCAACGTAACAACTATGCTTCTGGTCAGAAGTAATTTCCTTAGAGCACACTGTTGTCTACTTTGATGACAGAAACATGATAAGCCTGAAAAGAATACATACAAATTATACTCAGTTCATCGGGTTCAGAATAGAGTCCAAATGGCGGAGTCAGGTTTCATAAAAGGTAAAGAATTAGTTTACTAAATAAGTAACGGTTAGCTTCTGGCATAGAGATCTGCTTTAAAACATTCATTTAGATGAAAACGTCCACATTATATTCAGACAATTACAGAACACAGTCAATAATAATGTGACATATTTGCGCTATGCAGGACACCCCCTCCCCCGCCAGTAGTGCCTCTGCTACGGTAACAGGCCAGTCAACTCTCTGCCCCCCTCCTCCGTGGTGACGTAACAAGGGGACCACTGCTGTAACACGAGGCAACAGAATGGTATAAAAAGCCGGCTGACCAGTATGTGAAGAGTGTGTGTGTGATCAGGAGTGACACAGTGTGGATCGTGAAGTTGCCGAGTTCAGCTGCAGTGAGTGAATCGTGAACGTGAAGAATACCGGAATGTGTGAGAAATTATTGGGAGTGTGTAATACAGTGACACTGGTATAGCTCCTGTATTGCACTGTGAATAAGTGAAGGCCATTGAATATAGAGTGAACAGATTATTGTGTAGGGTGTATAAATTGTGTAAACCCGCAACTGTGTTGTAAGTATTTGTAGGTAAGAGATGTAGGTTCTTAAATAAACCAATTAACAATTCGAACAGTGTCTTCAGTGGCAAAACACGTTACATTGGTGTCAGAAGTGGTTACGAACTTACACACGCGAAAACCACGCAAAAAAATGAAGATGCAGCAGATGATGGAAATGCTGGCAAGAATGGACGCCAACGTGAAATCCTATCAAGAAAGGACGGAAGCCAATAGGAAGAAAGAGAAACATTTCCTGGCAAAATCAGACATCAACCAAGAAAAAACAGATGTCATTCTGGCAAAATTAGACGCCTACCAAGAAAAGGTGGCGGCCGATAGGAAGGCCGCAATGCGATCTATGCGGTCAGAGTTGGATGAAAGAATCCAACATAGAATTGAAAACATTTTTGTGATCTTTGAACACGACAAACGGATTCTCCAGTCGGAACTAACTGAGGGGATTGAAAAGACAAAAGAAAAATTACAGACGGCAGAAGTGTCCCTCTGCACACGAACAACAAAACTCCAGGAAGATCTAACGAAAAACTACGATGAAACATGCGCAGCAATCGAGGAGGCCAATCGCGAGTTCCAAGCCTGGTTGGATGAAACAAGACAGACGAGGGCCGAGCGGGGAAATACATCAACGGTCATCACAAGCACAGCTCAGCCCCGACATTCAACGGGAATTCAACATGGAGTGTGTTCCGGCGACAATTCGAGACTGTAGCGGAACACAACCAATGGTCGGACCGGGAAAATTGACATACCTAATTACCGCTCTGAAGGGTCGGGTGGCAGAAGTGCTACCCAGCATTCTGATGAATTTGACTTACGAGGATACACTTCAGGCACTAGAGGACCATTTTGGGGACCAACACTTTGCAGCTGCTTACTGCTGCCAACTGACGAGAACACAGAAACCTGGAGAACCCCTGTAAGACTTCGCCACGGCCATTGAAATGCTTGCCCATCGTGCCTACCCCAATCTATCTGCAGACCACATAGGAAGAGAGGTAGGGAAAGCTTTCGTATACAGAACAAGAGAAGCCGACATAAAGATTCAGCTACTATTGGGAGGGGAGAAAATGGTGAACGAGGCCCTCCGACAAGCGCCAGAGCTGCAGGTCGTACTGGTAGCAGCCTGCAACTGTGTTATAAGTATTTGTAGCTAAGACATGTAGGCTGTTAAATAAACCAATTAACAATCCGAACAGTGTCTTCAGTGGCAAAACACGTTACAAGTATACTGTAGTTTTCTTATACAGTGAAACCTCACTAATTTGGAATTTGCGATAATTTTGGCATCTTTTTTCTTTTGGCACATTACTGTCTTGATCATGTTGCTGCTACCTAAAATGATTTTAAGTTGGAACTTATATTTTTACATTTTATGACAATTTATTTTATGATATGCAATCTAAGTTTGAAAATAAAGTTGTATTGCCTAAAAAGACATGCAAAGTCCAGTTTTTAACTTCCCTGAACATATTTTATGCAGCACTTCTATAATTCAGACTTTCACTCATTTGGACAAGGGTTCACTCCCAATCAGTCTTAATTAGTGAGGCTTACTGTATATGATTGGATACGATTCACTACAGAAAAACAAATGGTTGAATTCCAATGATGATACAACTCTACAAGCACAATATCCAGTGGTGATTTTTGCAGCTTTTTAAATGTCTTTTTATATATCAAAATAATATAATTAGCATCACCCTTATCATTAAAAAATTTAAGAAATGTCTATTTGAATCCTGTGATTATTTAATATAATTTCTTTTATAATTTCATTTAAGTGAATTGCGTTTAAAAGAGTTATGTGGTACATATACAAATGGTCTCTAGCTACCTCATAGCCCCATTTAATGCCCTCTCTCATTAATTACTGAATTTCTATGACCCAAGCCCCATTATGTTAGTTTTTCATTTAAGGCTGTCCCTGATTTAATATTCAAATGGATGGAATGGGAATTACTACCATAATTATATTTCTATCCAAGTGACAAACTGGTTCACATGATCAGTAGGATTAAAAACAGATACAATGGGGTACCCAAAAGAAACCGAACTAATTTTTTTGTGGGCAGAGCTTTTGTAGTACCGCGTTTTGCCGCTATGAGCGCATAGAGCTAACATTCCTGAGTTGATAAGCCGACTACCGTTGCTTCAGAAGGTAAGGACTAGTTTCGGCAGAGTTTATAGTGACAACTGTTTTGTGTGATCATCGTTTTTACAATGGCTGATTTTCGTGAACAGCGTGTGGCGGTGAAATTCTGCTTTTTGCTCGGGAAAAGTGGAACAGAAACTCTTGAAATGTTAAAAACGGCGTACAAGGATGATGCTATGGGGAAAACTCAAGTGTTTGAGTGGTTTTCCCGTTTCAAAAATGGTGAAATGTCAATTGATGACAAACCTCGTTCTGGTCGTCCTTCCACAGCCCGAACACATGAAAATGTTGAAAAAATTCGTGAAATCATCAAGGAAGATCGACGACAGACCACTGAAGAAATTGTGGAGCTGTCAGGAGTGACTTGGAGCTCAGCGGCCAGATTTGTGGCAGTCGGGTGACTGGTTTTTCCATCATGACAATGCCCGCTCACACAGCCCTGTCTGTATGACAATTCTTGACCAAAAATGGTATGACCCCTGTTCCTCACCCTCCATACTCACCCGACCTTGCCCCGTGTGACTTTTTTTTTGTTTCCTCGAATGAAAAGAGATATGAAAGGAAAAAACGACGGAGGCGCTGTCAAGCATCTCAAAAGATGAATTTAGACAATGTTTTGAAAAATGGAATAAAAGACTAGACAAGTGTATTAGTGTAAGTGGAGAGTACTTTGAAGGGGATTGAAGGTTTGTGCTTAAAATTTGAATAAATAAGTTTAAAAAAAATAAGTTCAGTTTCTTTTGGGTACCCCCTCGTACTGCTAAGATTCCATGCAGTTTTACGAGAATTTTATCTCTTTTCTTTGATAGTGGTTCACTGATTAATTTATATGCTGTCTTTCCATGTAAACTACATACCATTATCTTTATTTCTGCTCTCTGTTAAAGCTATTTCCATGTAATGCATATCTTTCCTTTCCTCCTCTTACTTCAATGAAGTGGTTACCCACACCTTTTGAATAGTAATCATGTTACAGTTAAAATTCTCCCTAAAATATTCAAGGTAATTCAGTCACTTCTTGCACTTTCCAAACTAGCGTTTCACCACAGGCAATCTTAGGGTTGGAACTTCAGGTTTTAATGGTGACCCATATTTGTATTGCATCTCCTAGATCAGACATGTCCAATGTGTCGATCTCATGGGCCCATAAGGAAATTATACGTGAAAAGCATGTAAATTCACTTGTAATATAATATGATTATATTCAGATGTTGAAGGGAAAATAGGTGTTAACGTAGTCTGTACTTTCAATGTATGTTGCTTTTACAACAAACATCGTGTTGTGTTATTTTTACCAATATTTTTGCTTAAAACGAGGTACAACAATAGGAGGGGTGGTAGATCACTGGCAGTTTTGACACTAAAAAGTCGATCACAACCTGTTTGAAGTTGGACATGCCTGTCCTAGATGATGATCCTGTGTAGTCTTCCGGTAGATGGGTAACATCGTCATGAAGGAACATACTGCCTTGAGGGCAGAAATTCTACTCTAAAGACGGAGGCAATATATTCATCAGAACAATGGTACACACTTACCAAACTACATGATATCATAAACCAGAAGGTTTTGAAGAACTTAATGTAAGGGGCATGGAAATTAGTACAGATAACAGGCTTCTGAAATCACAATGAAGAAGCATGTGTAATCACTGAAATATGAAAATACTGCTGTGAATTAACATACCGAAAGTTGATAACTTTTGCTGCCAACAAGCGGTTACATTCAGCTGTATCAGCAAGAGGGAGCTGCACATAAGGACTCTCGTTCTCTTGGTCCGTAAACTCAAACTTGTGAATCTTTGCATTGACCTTCATATCCCCAAAAGGACCACGTAATATCAAGTAGTGGAGTGCCAGAGGGTATGTTGTCTTGGTTTTCAGGATCAACTGCAGTTTAACAATATATAATACCCATAAAGAGAAAGAGAGGTGGACAGTTAACTATGCTGTTATTATACAAATGGAAACAAATAACATCAACATACTTCAAAATGTCCAAACTGTGACTACATACAGTTAAGAGAAATTATGTGTACTGATCAAAATGTAAAATTCATATTTAATCATGAGTTATACTGTCTTTACAATGTGTTTTTATAGATATCACAAGTTATATATACCTAAGATTTTATAAGCAAGCACAATTCCTCTCATAAAGCAAGAAAAAATCACAATAAATAATGAAATGTAAAAATGAAACTTGAGGGATGCCAGCAAGCACCTACCCATTGTAAAGCTGACACAGAACATAGGGAAGTCAACACTTACTTGCTTACCCTAATTGTGTTAAAATTCCCCATGTTTTTGCCATAATCTCAACAAATTGCATATGTGCAGGCTGTGCCCCTTTATTTGTTTTAAGACTTACATTTACTTATTCTTCACACATACATACCCATAATTGTCATCATTATGTACCCAGTGTTCATTAAAGAAGCAGGTGGAGCAGAGGCATGATTCAACTGTCCAGTAACAGTATGTAGTGTTGCTCAAGTCTTACATCTTCTTTTATCACCAGCTCTCTAGCTCTACCTCTTTATCTTCAATTTTCTCATTCTACATTCTTCTTTCAGTAATCTTCATCTTATTCAGTCTCTACTGTCTGTTTCTTCTTAACCTGTATTAAGCTGTTAGGAAAGAAAAACTGAACCCTGGAAATAATAATGAGTGGTAACATTTGCAGCGATCTTGGTCAGCCATGACCACTGCAGCTGTTACGCACCTCCCAATGTTACGGAAGTGCTTGCGCGATGAATGATGCCAGTCTGGATGATGTGCAGCATCATCTTCCACGGTGCTCTGATGCTGAACCTAACTGTGGGATTGAGGGGCTGCAAGGACATTGGATTAAGGACACTTTCAACCCCCAGACTTACCTTGAATCATGACGTTTGATGCTGCAGGATATTGCAGCCCTACTTCCACTTTACCTGGTAAGTCATGTTCCGCTCGGAGCTCTGTGTTGGGTCTCTCTGGCTATTGTTAATGCGTGCCTTCATCACCCATTGATTGTTGAAAGCAGTGAACCGGCTCGTCTCATAGAACAGCTTATGTACAAACTCATCCGTGCGATATGGCTTTATCTGCAAGTCTATATGGAGAAACTGTATTGTTATAGGAGTTTATGGGAAGAACTTCGCAAATATGCCCTTCAAATATTTCAGTCTAAATTACTAATCATACTATTTAATGACCCAATTCTGTGTATAATTTTCACTAGTATAAATTTAATGTCAGATTTGTGTGATTTAACCTCAAAGTTTCATGCTGTTGCCACATTTCTAGTTGTCTATATGTACATAATAGTTTATACATAATTTCACAAGCCCATTTGATTGGTTCATTAGTTATAGCTGTGAAACTGAATATAAAATGTTGACTTCACTATGTTGTTTTACATTGTACAGTCTAGTTTATAGAAACCATTATGCAACTTAATTTTTCTGTGGATTCCTTTTACTTGTGGCACTTGGAATCTACAAAAAGGTAAAGTATGTTAAATAAATATAAATTACCTAACAAACTCCATGGAGCTGAGTCCTTCTTGAGAAGCCAAAAGCTGCTCAAGACACTCAAGAAATTGTCAGAATTTTAGGGAACCCAAAGGTTCATAACTGTGTAAAGGCCCACCAGTGATACCCTTCCTGGGTCAGATGCATCCAATCCACATCCTCACATCATATTTCTTTAAGATCCAATTTAATATTATCTTCCTATCTACATCTACTCTTCCTGGAGGTCTCCTTCATGTTTTCCTACCAAACCTTCACATCTCCATGCATGGAACATGCCCAGCCCATCTCATCCTGCTTGATTTTATCAGTCTAACAATATGTGGCAAGGAGTGCAAATTATGACGCTCCTCATTATGCAACTTTCTCCATCCACATATTCTCCTCAGCACCCTGCTCTCAAACACCCTCAGTGTGAGAGACCAAGTTTCATTTTCATACTAAACTATAGGCAGAATTATAGTTTGCTATATTTTATCTTTAAATATATATATATATATATTGTTACCTAGTGGGTACTGCTGTTATTACCGTTATTATATTGCATATTTTGCCACAATTGTAGATTGTTTTACATTTTATATTTTCCTAAAAATTAAGGAATATAAACTACACATTCAACATCAAGGACCCAACTGCAAACAGTGTTTAACAATTTAACTATGGGGCACTGAACAGTGAAGCACTTATGACAAAGCATAATAAAGACATGCAATTATATACACCACTAAATGAAAGCATGATGTTCAAGAAAAATTTCCATATGAGGATTTTCAGATGTTACCTATATTTGCTAATAATTCCACAACCCATATTCAAACACAGCAATGTGAAATGATAAAATGCACTAATGTAAGTCACAAACTATCCACAATGTGTTTATTAAAATTAGTACAACAGTACATAACTTACAACTGCATTATTTTTAACATGTCTTGCTTTTAGTACACTTGGGGTAGTGTCACACAAGCTTATGTATGCCATAGGAAAAAATGTTTTTGACAGGGTAGCAAGCCACTCATAGTCACTGGCAAAATGAGAGCCTCTGAAATAATCTTCAAGGGGTCCAAACAGCTGAAGATCTGTCAGGGCTGTATGCTTATTGTTCAGAGATCCCAAAATGTAGCTGCTGGAGTGTTTCAACAGTACGGGGATGGTCATTATCATGCAGCAACACAACACATTTTGACAGCTATCCTCAACATTTACTCTGAACTGCCAGCTTCAGCTTGTAACTCAGCATCTCAAGGTAATGTGCATTACTTACTGTCACACCCCTTCCCTGATTATGCTCAAGAATGGGCCTACAAATCACAGAACAGAGTGAGCATAACTCTTCCCACTGGTGGTTGAGATTTTATTTTTGAAAGGATATATCAGGCATTTTATGCTATACTCCATGGCTTATGCTTGTGGATCCACAGTTGTTCATCAGTAACAGTGAGACTCAAAAAGATGTCACCTTCCTCGTGATACTTATGCAACAGGGAACCCAAACACATCCAAAGTTATGCTTCTGCTGTTTTGTCAGTTGTTTTCGAACCCACCTTGCACACTCTTTATAGAAGTGAAGCTTGCTGTAGATGATTTCATAGACAAAGCCATGAGACTAATCTGCAGTTCCACTTAGTTGGGGAGTGGAGTTCAGCTGGGTCCACTCGGCACGGCAGCCACTGATTGGCCTCTTGTAGCCTGCCCCAGGTGATTATGATGATGGAGAATTTGGTGGAATGAAGATTGGCAGGGGAAACCGAAGTACTCGGAGAAAACCCACCCCAGCGCCACTTTGTCCATCACAAATCCCACTTGACCAGACCCAGGATTGAACCTGGGCCACCGCGGTGGAAAGCCAGTGACTAACCGCTTGAGCTATGGTGCGGCTTAAATCTGCAGTTGCCTGCCACTTCATCTGCTGTCACCCTTCTGTTGTGAATTAACCTGCAGACTTGGTCAGTGTCCCCTACAACAGGCACCCTGATCGTTCATCAGTGACATATGTTCAGCCATTTCTGAACATGATCCCTTCATACACGCATCAGAACACCATTACCATATTGTGCCCGAGCCCACAAAAATCAAATCACTGCACATTGCTCTGCTTTGATACATGTGGTAGGTAGAGCAACCATGTTGACATCACTAGTGGTGAAAGTTGACTGAATGATAAAGGTCAAGTAAGTCACTACAACAAAAGGGAAGTTCCATGCTTATGACTGTGTGCATTCAGCAGTGAAGCCAGTTGTATAAAAAGATACAAACATTTTGCAGGTGCTTTCTAACCTGCTCTCACAGTTCATATTGTGAAAGATCTGCATGGTACTAAATTGATTATGCATGCAATTTCATGTTCAAACTCTTCTTGTTACTTCAATCTGGAACAGTGATCTACACTCATTTCATATTTCTGTTTAAATTATCAGCTGAGTGTCAGTAGAACTGATACGTTTGCTTTCTTAAGTGTAAAATTTTAATATCAATATTGTGCCCACATGGTATTTTTGCCTGTGTTGCAGAATAAAATAATTCAGGTACATCTACTTTTGTTATAGGGATGTTCCATAATTAATTTTGGTATTCACTCAAATGAATTCAGTTCTGACTAAGTATTTCAAGGGTTCCTCCAGTCCTTTTAGGCAAATGCCAAAGATCTTATCTTAAACCTGGTCATGACAACCCCCAACCCATTTCAAATTCATCATCACGCACATAATACTTCTTTCACTGTGGGATGAAACACAACCTATGCAACTGATACATCACTGAATATTATACAATTTAACTTAGTGTCATGAAATAGAGGTAACTGTGTAACATCATACCATTGAATGTTATCTTCTCATATGACAGCAAGTCAAATACACAATTGTATAACCTCTTCTCTTCTTCACACTTCAGGTCGATGACCTGCAAAGCTTCCATCACCTCTGCCCCAGAGCGGTGAGGATGTGCACACACTTGTTCATGCTCTGCTGCCTCATGAAATGGGCCACGCCACGGGCATCCAATACGACTATACTTGCAGTTTGTAATCCTATAAAGTACAGTAGAATAACTCTGATATTCAACTTCCCAAAAAATTATTTTTGCTACAGGTGAAGGTTTCATTTTGTGAGCAGAAAAATATGCACGCATTATCTGACTGGGTATTAAATTCAGAACCCTCTGAATGAGAATCCAGGTCTTACCATGAGAATTCTAGATCCCCTTTACTGTATAGCATAGCTTCATATCTTTATGCATGAGTAAACCTAGTTAGTGCAGCTTATTGTGATGACTGATGATAAAGCAGGTAGTAGTTGCTCTATAGAATCAAATTTCAAAAGATGGATTCATATCATCGAAATATACCAGATGTCTTGATTTTAGCATGTAGAGTAAAACAAGTTAAAAATGTTGTGAAACCTGCTCATAGCTGATCTGTGAGGGGTGAGAACATTATTCTGTTTCAGATGGGTTTAGTACAGCACAAGTATTCATTTGATTCATGCCCTGCACTTATCATCCAAACAGGCAAGAAATTTGGGGCACATATGTACATTGCACTGTGAGAAAGAAGCACCTCCCCCCCCACTAGTCCATACAGGACTGCACATATTCTGCCGACAGATGGGCTTCGATTCTTCCACATCTGTGACAGGAACTGAGTGAGCCTGTATAGCAATAAAATTTTAGCAATTTTGTAGTATTATATTACAAGTGATTATAATGATGCAGTCAGTAGATGCCTATTGTTCATCACTGTCACTGGCACAGCCATTTCTGTTATCTGTATTTGTGCATACACAGAATCTACTACGAGGGTAGTACTGAAAGTCATGAGCAACAATTTTTGTAAAGTAAAATGCTTTATTACAGACAAACCGAATACACCACCTCAATCTACAGACCTTTCTTTATTTTTCCACATAATTGCCACTTCTTTGTACACATTTCTCCTGGTGTTCTGGGAGTTTGAAAATTCCCCTTCTGTAAAATTCCGTTCCAGCCATCCGAAGACACTGACACACTGCTTTCTGAATTGCCTCCCTTGTCTCAAAACGTTGTCCACGCAGCTGATCCTTCACAAATCCGAAAATATGGTAGTCAGAGGGTGCCAGATCAGGGCTATAGGAGGGATGTGGAAGAACTTCCTACCCCATCTTTGCAATTGCTTCCGATGTGAGGCGAGCATTGTCATGCAGGATGATGATGTTTCGTCCCAGACATTTATTGCGCAATGCATGAGGGAGCTTGTTCAGTGTCTGGACATAACAAGCAGCATTGATGGTTTGCCCAGGTTCCAGGAATTCGGCCAGAATAAACCCCTCTGCATCCCAGAATATTGTGCCCACCACCTTCGCAGCTGATGGCACTGTCTTTGCCTTCTTTTTTGATGGAGAATGCAAATGGTGCCATTCCATACTCTGCCATTTTGTTTCAGGCTTGAAATGGTGAAACCAGCTTTCATCACTTGTCACAATACAGAGCAAAAAATCATCGCATTCGTGTTGATATCTCTGCAGCAGTTTTGAGGTGATGGCCTTTTACCTTTGTGGTCTTCAGTCAATAACTGCGGGACCCAACGAGTACAAACTTTCCTATAGCCCAAGCCTTCAATCATTTCCTGTACTGCACTGTGCCCTATTCCAAGTTTTCAGGCTATTGTGTCCACAGTCACACGCCTGTCATCTTAAATGTTCTCAACCACTCTTTCCTTGTTGTGTTCAGTTGAGGCTGTTCGAGGATGACCGCTCCGAGGCTCATCTTCAATGCTGGTGTTCCCATCTTTAAAATGTTTCACCCATCTTCGAACACTGCTCACACCCATGCACACACTTCCATAAGCATGGTGAAGTCTCTGGTGAATTTCTGCAGCAGGGATTTCCTCTTTCACAAGAACGATGACAGCACGCTGGCGAAACGACATATCGCTGTCGGCCATTTTGTTAGGATACTGGTCACGTGATGCAAGCTATTGACGTCACAAGACACTCAAGATTAACACAACAGCTGGTTCCACCTACCACTATACTCTCTTTCGTCTGCTGTTCCCAGGTTGCATGCAAAAGAAGTTGCTCATGACTTTCGGTACGACCTACGTATTGGTGTCATAAGTCAAATAACTTCTGATAATGTGCAAAATTTTTATGCAGTACATCAACAAGGTCTAGGGACATCAGTGTGATTTCTTTTCCATCAGCAATATTTTGGAGACTACTGGAAACAAACAAACCTCAATTTAAATGAAACTCTGTTTGCTAACACATTATGCCAGCAATAATAGTAACCTTATTTGAACCTAAGCCCAAAACTGTGAAACCAGACCAAGCTAAAGTCCACTGTAAAAAGTTCTTCACAACTAGCAGACTGACAACAACACAATATCTCAAAATCACATGCAAAGGTATGTGTTTCTTGACCCTGGGCATCATCTCTTTTTCCCTGTCATGTTGTAAGTGCAACATGCATTACACTTATCTTCCTTTCTGAATAAAAAGCTATATTAAGTCATTGTTAAATATTTGTCTGTACACCCAGTGATACCCCATTGCTTAAATATTCCTTTTTAAGTACCTCCTGCAACTCTAAAAATAAACTAAAAAATATTAATTTATATGGTCTTGAATCAATGTTTCAAATGATTTGGCCTCTTTTTTGAGGGCTTATGTTTGCAAATTTCATCATAAATCATACTGACTGTGCTCCTTTTTTGAAGCAGATGTCACAGACATTTTTCTCACATCTACATATCCTCTAAAAAGTCCTTGGCAGACTTGTAAATGGTTTGTGTCTTTGGTATTTTTATCTCTTTTGCTCTCCAACAACAGCAGCCAATCTCTGAGCAAGTCTTAGTTTCACATCAACTAATGGCATTAATATAAAATTATGCTTATGGACATTTCAGAACGTCCAAAAGATGATAATTTTTTCAACTGAGTTTCTGTATCAAAATCCTTATGTGTTTTCTTAGACAATGTGAGCAGCCTTATCAACATTTATGCTACTGAACTCAAAGATTTTTGTTCACTTCAGTCAGAATGGCATATCTTGACTTATGTCTGTTTGGTTCTAGCACAACATCCAAAAATGTAGGTACACTAGCTACTTTTTAAAAAACGCTAACATTTACGGCCTTTTGACATGAAATATGTTTTATTTTGAAGAGTACTGATTGTAAGGTAGGACATTTTGGCAGTTCTTATAGATCAGTATTCTGATCATAAGCCAGTGCAATATCCTATGATTTGGCGCTAAACAATCTAGATTCTGACATCATCATAAAATAACCCACAGAAGAGAACTGTTGCAGGTATGTTCCTTCTCAGTAAATTCCGGTAAAAACGCCACGTGGAATGAACCACACACACATTTATTAAGAGGCAATTTATGCTAGTTTTCACTCAATGTTCTCACCAAGAAGAGATTTTTTCTGATAAAAGCAAGTTTGCTTTTAACGCAGGTTCTGTTTTAGACAGATTCTACCATAATTATTTCAAACTCTATACATTGAAGATAGTCAAAGCAGATGACATACATTTTGTAATATGTAGCAGTGGAAGTCTAATATATAACATACCTGCCTAAATTAATAAAACAAAGGACCCTAACATCTCACCTCTCATCACACAGTGTCTCTTCATGTCTCTCTAAAGTAATCCGTGGAAAATCTTTACCACAGAACTGACATTCTGAAGGCAGTTCATTCACAGCCTTTTCTACAGCCAGATTCCGAGAAGCAGATGTTTTACTAATTTCAATCCTGCAGTTGGGACATGTTGCAATCTCATCTCTCAATCTTGCATCTGCCAGTACATGAGTAAAGCATCCAGCACACATCAGGTGCCCATTGGTACACTGTAACATGCATTTCATTACTTACATGAATGAAGTGCAAATGTCTTGGTCTTTATCTTCTTCAGTGGACATTGCTCCATCAGTTGGCAATCTGAGCATAGGCAGAAGAGGTAAATCAGTTAACTGCCTGTAGTACAGACATGAGATCTGGAGGAGCCACAGTAGAGTAGTTGTTGTGTCCCACCTCAAACCTGTCAGTTCATGTTATATAATATGTTCCTTCAACTGCTGTTTCAGCAGTGGAATGTTCTTGTGCATTTGTTGTCCCACAACATTAAATTAAATTAAATTAAAGTTCTGATGACATAATGATGTCAGGCAACAGGGTGAAACCAAAGAAAATAGACATTGTTAGAAATATCAAAAGGATGAGTTTTCAAGTGACACAAATAATTTTATGAAGGAAGGGAAGACATCAGTGATCCTCAATCAGGCTGGCCAACACAGGGAAAAATTATGAAAACGTTGAAAAAATGCTGCACCTTATTCATACTGATTAAAGAATCACCACAGAAGAACTGGGACTGAGTAAAGAGAGAATGTGTCAAATTTTAACCAACAACCTTGAAATATACTTCACCAAGAGAAAAAACTGGCCCACGATGTGGTATCGGTGAGGCAATTTCTGTTTCAAAATTAATCCCGCTGGAACTCTCTCCCAGTTTGGCTTCATATGACTTCTTTTTAGTCTTGTATATAAAAACTTCTAATAATGTTATATTTTAGCATCCTGTTGCACTGATTTATGTCCATGATTTATTCTGACCGTCTTACAGTGAATATATATATTCACCTTACTCTTCTCTCTTGCACTACATGTTTCAGCACTAAAGTGCCATCTTCAGGTGCTTTTCGATGTACGTTGAACTACTTCATTGTATGCTCCTGTGACTGCGTGTTATACTGNGCATGCAATGAAGTAGTTCGACGTACATCGAAAAGCACCTGAAGATGGCACTTTAGTGCTGAAACATGTAGTGCAAGAGAGAAGAGTAAGGTGAATAAATGTATGCACTGTAAGACGGTCAGAATAAATCATGGATATAAAAACTTCACTGAAATGGATGCACTCTGGGTGAGAGATGGTCTAGCAGCATACATCACACATGCTAAAAGTGGTATTTGAAGATGTAGTCAGAAATGTTTCCAAACGTGACAGAAAAGAATAGCTTGATATACAGCTGCCAAAGGGATCATTTACTTTAAGTTGAGTATGAACTTACTTGCAAAGTCATTCCTGAAACCTTCCAGCCATACCTTATACTTTTATCAGGAAGGTTCCTCTTTAATAATTTCAAACAAATCACAGTACTCTGATTACTGCTAGAGTCACATGATATGTTCACAGCAATATTAGAAATTACATGGTCATTAATACAAGAATAGAAATCTAACATACAGCACAGATAGAAAGGTATGTGACTGTTTCTTTTAGTTACTTATCAAAGCTTTTCAACAATATGGTTGTACAGTGCTGACTGAAAAGATGATTTTGAATGACATGGAAATAGTCATGGTCTATTTTAAGGTACTGTACAAGTAGTTTTCTAGAGAAACTGTAAAAAAAAATATATCTGAAATAATATTAGCCGAAATTCAAACCGAGGACATGCCAAATGCAAAGCACAAATCCCAACCAATAAAGTTCAAGTTATCTGGAAGCAAAAAAAAATGTTAAAGTTCACAAAATTCTAATCTGTCACCAGAAATGGTTCATACTGTAACAGTATATTGGTAGGGGGATTAACTTAAAGTGTACTAACTTTACTGGGAAATTTCATACAGTGAAAATATGCTAATATAATAAGTGACTGAAAGGCAACTGTCCTCGGCACCAGTGCGAGAGGCATTAATCAGAAACAATATTTGAACAACTGATTCTGCTCCAATATGTTACTGAGGTTTCACGATATGTACTTTAATGTATCACAAAGATTATCATTGTGTGAACACTGATGTACTACAAATGCTGAAACATGTTTTTTGATATATTACAAATGCAGTATTCCATATTCTTTTTATGTATTGCAAACTTTATTTGTTCTCTTACTTGATATATTAGAGGCAGTATCATGTATTCTTTGGTGTTTTACAAACATTTTATATCATGTATAAATGGCTGTAACAATGGAAAGGTTACCATTCTTCATATTTGGGAGATCCTAACCTCAAATCTCAGCCCATAGTTAGCTGTCTTGACTGATGGTTTTCCTTGTGTTCATCACCCCTCCAGGCAAATATTTTATATTAGTCAATGACGCTTGCTTCCACATTCTTTCCAAATTAGCATTCACTAATAATTCATCATCTGATGCTATATATCGTAGCAACTAAAGTCCCATTAAATAAACAATAAATATAATATACATCATGCAGCCTTCCATTATCTTCTCAAGAAGTATTCCGTTCCGTAGTCAGTCTAATGCATTACAAAGGTTACATCATGTATGCTTTAGATGTAGTACAAAAGTTCTATCATGTACATCTACAAAGGAAGCTTAAAACTTAAAAATTACATCTTATTAAGTAAGCTATGCATTCTTCATGGGGTTGGAGGGATGTAGCAAAAACAAGAATCAAGTGACATGTAAAGAGGTGTCAAAATTATAATACTCCTTTATAAACCAAACAATGGAAATTAAAACTCAAATTTAGTGTTATGCATGCCATTTTTCAATTTAATATAATTATACATAAATCATAAGTTTCTGAAAATCAAAATGTACATACATATCATGAGGCACTCCCCATAGACAAACAGCGGTAACTGAAAACACGTGATCAGCCCGTCACCATCTTCCATTTCAAAAGAACATTATTCCTAAGTGACAAACTATGTAAGGCTTTGCATGCAGTAGGAAGAGCATTACAATGGGTGGTGTAAAAATCTCCTACCAAACCCACGATTTGAGATCCTCTGAACAACCCCAGCACAGAAAGTTGCAGAAATGCATCACAAAAATAAATGTGCAATGAATTGCATTTACTTACTTATTTATATGAACTTAGCCATAAAATGACTGACTGTTAGCTGGCTGACTACATACAATTCCCAACAGGGGTCACCAGCATACTGAGAACTGGCTCTGGGACCCATCTAGTCTCCTATGCAACGAATACTGGAAGCTTTTCTACGTGAGTAAGGCAGATAGAATGAGATGCTAACTACTCACCTCCATCTAGTGCTGATATTTGGAATGTGTGGAACCTTAGCTCAGTGTCCCTAGTACACTATCATGTGCCACTAAGGCACAGCTTATTTATTTATTCATTCATATATACATTATTTACTGCAGGTCATATTGCCTTGCTGTCAGGCCTGAATGAGATGATGTGCCAGCATACCATGCAATTACTGCTGTACTTAAATGTGACAATCCAATGTGTCTGGTGAGTTGGAAGAAGACATAAAAAAATTATGCAGTTGTAATCTGTTGACAGCTATCTCAGTGCAACAGAGATTAATTGCTGAGTCAGTCCTCTCGGTTGCTGAAAAGGCCTAATCCAACTTGACAATTGGTGCAATTTTATAGCTCTGTTTTACTGATACTGCTTCAACAACCAATCTTCAAATAACAGATTCTAATCAAGGAAGAAAATCAAAGATAAATTGGTCTAATATAACATTATGTAAAAATGTGATTTTGTTTTATAGATGCTTTCCAGCTCACAGTGGGCTAAAACACTGTTTTTTAATTCTGCTCCAGAATATGCCACAAATTGTTGGTCTATGAGAATGAGGAATTGAATGGCTTAAATCATGTTTTTGTTCATGCTGATATTAATTTCTTCAAAGAATATAAATACCACAAAGAAAAAATGTAAGAGCTGGGATAGCGTAGTCAGTATAGTGACCGGCTACAGGCTGGACAACCAAGGGGTTGGAGTTCGAGTCCCGGTGGGGGCTAGATTTTCGCTTCTCCATATTGTTCAGACCAGCTCCGGAGTCCACCCACCCTCTATCCAATGGGTACCGGGAGCTCTTTCCCTGGGAGGTAAAGCAGCAGGGGCATGAAGCTGACCACTCACCTCCAGCTAGTGCCGAGGTCAAGAAAATGTGGATCTATACATCACTCACCCATACGCCTTCATGACGTAGAGCTTAATTAGTTAAACATAGGGACAACTTTACCTTACCTTACAAGGAAAAAAATAGCATGTCTACAAAACATGTTTGCTTCAAAATCATTAACATAACTTAATGAAACAAAAACAAAAATGATATACATACAGAATTTGTACTTAAGTTCCACATGTGCACCTCTTGTAATAAAAAGTACTGAGATGACATTTTATCCCAGCCAATATACTTCATTTTTTCTGAGGTTGCCATAATAAAGGGCAATGACCTTGATATGCTCAAAAACTTCACATTTTTCCATAGCTGGAAGAAGAGGAGGGAGCTGAAGTTTTCTAACAGGGTGGTGCACTTTTATTGTGGGTGTGAGAAACAATAATCAGAACTTGCTGGTGCAACAGTTAGATAAAAACTGCTAGTTCATTCTCTCTTAAAGAAGGCTCACAAACAAGAGAATGATTAAAGTAGTGGAACTATGGCTAAAGGGATTCACATTGCACCAAATACCGTTGAAAATTAATAATGGCAAGAATTTATGGTACTTCAGTCAAAAAATTCTTTCTGGTCAGTACATTCTCAGAATTCTAACAACCCTGTTCAGAATTATGTCTGTGTAGTAAATGTACTCATACTTCAGTTACTTGATATAATCTAAGCAGGACTAGAAATGTTTTTCTTTCCCTACATTGAACTATAACAACTTGAAATTTATGTTGGAAGCCTCTTTCTGTTCACATGCATATCATAAATACTTGTTTCAATGTGTAACTCTCATCATATTTTGACACCAAAAGTAATGTGATTGACTGAATGTTTAATACTCATACTGTAGCATGAGCTTTGGATTGAAGTTGACAGGCACATACCACATAAGATTATTTCATAGTAGCTGTGCTAAAGATTAAATGGGCAATATTGAAAAGAAATGATGTGTATAAGCTATTTGCCTTTCAACCACATAATTACGAATGTGTGCAGTATAAGATGACAAAAGTAACCTGTGCTGGTCTCACACAATTAGCCGAAGTTCTGAGAAGCCATTTCCACCCAAGTTTCAGAGCTATAAAATGTACTGAACTGAACTGAAAGATAGCGGATGCTGCGACAACACAAGCCTCGCTGCTGCTTTCGCTACATGGACGACACCTTCGTCATCTGGCCACATAGGCCCAACAAGCTTAAGGACTTCCTGAACCACCTAAACAGTATCCACCAGTGCATTCAGTTCACAATGAAGACTGAAACTGAGGGCCACCACCCTTCCTGGATATAGATATTTGCAGGAGACCCGATGGTTCTCTGGGCCATACAGTGTACCACAAATCCACCCATACAATCCTCTACCTTAATGCTGTGTTCCACCACCACCCTTCCAACAAGCAAGCTGCACTTTCCACATTGGTGCACAGGGTTAGAGCTCTTTGTGATCAAGACAGCCTACATGCGGAGTTGGTGCTCCTGGGCGATGTATTCAGAAAGAATGGATATAACAACTGGCAGATACACAGAGTTCTCAACCGTTGGCCCAACATCAGCTGGCCTGAAGATCAACCGGGCGCAGTTGCCTTCCTGCCCGAGACTATATTCAACCGTATCAGCAGAGTGCTGTCCCGGCACAACATCAAATCATTGGGTCTGCCTCCAAACAAATTATCCAGTTTCCTCTGGCAGGTCAAAGATAGCCTGGGACTAAGGACATCGGGTGTATACAGTATCCCATGCGAGTGCAGAAAGGTCTATTTGGGCAGATGGGCCGCTCCATGGACACGAGGTTGAAGGAGTATCAGCGGCACATCTGTCTTGAACATCCGGACAAGTCAGCTGTAGCTGAACACAGCATCAATTTGGGACACCACATTGAGCTTCAGAATACCTCCATCCTTGCCACCAAGACACGTTATATGGATCGCATCATTAAGGAAGCCATTGAGATTGAACTCCATCCCAACAATATGAACAGAGAAGGGGGGTTTTGTCTCAGCAAGTCATGGAAGCCTCTAGTCTGTTCCCTAAAAACACCCCCCCCCCAGCACATGACGCCAGATCCACAAGGCCACTCAGTCCATGACCAACTTGCATAGCAACCCCTCAGCTTAAGGGTTAACGCCCTCCCATTAACCTTGCCTTTCTCCCCCCAACACAATATCCTATACCTGCTCTAACCTTGCTATGGCTCCCCAGACCCTTCCCCTCTCCCTCTCCACTGATTTCCCATGTAGACCTGTCCCTTCCTTTCCTGCTCTCATATAGCTGAGTTTATTTCCAACATTAGTCTGCTTGCACCTGCTCTCACTGTTTCTTTGCTTGCAGATTTTCTTATTTTTCCTTTTATCTTGAAGATGGAGGCGATACGTTCCTCCAAAACGCCGGTTAACACCACTTCCACACGGTGCCACATCCCAGAAGACTGCTTTCTTCAACAAGTGATGAGATTGCAGAAAATTTTGTGAATATAATCGATGATGATCATGATTTAAAATGTGAATGTTGCATCCAATATAAAACTGAGTTAACTAAAGTTACTTCTGAATTAAAATCAGCCATGAGAATCATCGAAATTCTAAAGGAAGAATGAAAAATTGACGATTCATCGATGGACAGAGTTGTCGTGAATATATGTAACCATGAAGAAGGAATATATTCACTGTCAAGAAATGAAAATTGGATGCAAGAGGAATCCATCTAACCCCAGTAAATCCCCATCAACAATAATAAGAACTACAAACAGACTTCAAGTCTTACATAACCTAGACAAAGATCTGACGAATAAAACCAATATAATCAAGAGGAAACTTCACAAATCTTATGCAACAACACAGGAAGAATGGGTTAAGGAATCTATTGCTGTAAGGACAAATAGAACCAAGAACAAGGAAGAGGTGTTCCCAGTGTTTGATATACCTGTGCTAGTGAATGGGTGTGTACCTTGTAATAAGCCTTCAAAGGTCTCAACGTGCGTGATGTCTGCAATAAATAATACAGTTGTAGTATTTAGAAATGACGCGGAATAGGAGAAGTATTGGTAGTGGCGGGGAAAGCTCCAGCATGCTGACAAGTGTGGAAGGGAATGCAGTACAGGCATTCTCAAAAGGAAATAACTTCTTACCTCATTGTGTTGCATCGTGTTGGTGGATTAGTCTCGATGATATTCAGACATCCGATGTTAAGTTTTAAGTGCCGAATGGCAGACTATTATGCACTATACACTATTAAAGACCTTTCACTGTTATATACATGAAGAGTTTATTTACATATTACACAGGTCTATTCTAAGGGGGCAACACCAGCAATGTCCTCATAGATATCATCTCCACATGCCTGTCCTTCCGCGTCACCACCAGATGAATCGGAGCTATCATCAGAACTGTCATCACTATCACCGCCAACATGGAAGACGAACTCCCATCCTGCATCCAAAAGGCCTTCCCGTGTCATTAATTGTTGCTCAATGTTCCTTACATGTTGACACCTACGTTGCCGTTCTTCTGCAGTTATGGGAGCCAATTTTTGGTCTGCCAGTTTAATGATGTCATCCATCTTAAATGTGGTACTGTTTTGAGCAACCCTATTTTTTTACGGTGGCCCATATTAACTCAATTGAGTTCAGTTCTGGGTAATATGGAGGGAGTCGTAAAATATTGTGATTGTGTTCTGCAAACATTCCATCTATTTTATAAGAAAGGTATTTCGGTTTGAGTGGTAGGATCATATTATATATGTCTGGGTTCTGCAATGATGAAAAATCAGTGTTATTGAATGTAATAGGTGAAAGGTGATATTTTAGCCAGGATATCATAAAATCTCTTCCTGAATTTGAGTTAGGGGCTCTGTTTAGTTGTGCATTATGGTAGGGAGCATTATCAATGACAAGGACAGAATTTGGGGGAAGGTTCGGAATAAGTCGCTCCTTTAACCATTTTTTCATAATTGTTGTAGTTCATGTCACTGTGGTAGTCTCCTGTTTTTTTTTTGTGGGATTTGAAGCAGATATAGGCATTAGGGATGAAACCTTGCTCTCCCCCTGCATGGATAACAATGAGCCGCTGGCCTTTGGACACGGGGGAAAATAACCCCTGGATGGATCCATCACTCCATGCATATGGGGTGGTGTGCAATGAATGAATATAGGTTTCATCCATGTAGATGATTGGGCGGCCCCCTTCCCTCTAGTCTTTAATTTGCTGCAAATACTGAAGACGTTTGGTTCTGATATTATATCGTTCCACCAGTATCTGCCGATTATTTTTTGTTTTCTTCCAGCAGAACCCCAGTTTCAAAATAATTTTCTTTAATGTGGAGATGCATCCCTAAAAATCTAACGTTTTCTTCAACTTTTCATGAACTCAGGGTAGGTCTCCGTTTTTCGACTATATAGAAATCATTAATTGTTCTTCACACCACAGACTCGTTAAAGTTGTCCAAAGTGGCTAGTGCAGATTTCCTAGGTCTTTCTTCATGGAGTGTCGAAAAAGAAGTTGAAGCCCCAGATTCGATATTTTTTGTTTCTCTTGTTATTCTTGTGACACTACTTTCCAATACACCTGTTGCCTTTGCTACTTCCACTCCTATGTTCTTCACTGTAATTGTTGGCCCAGCCTTTTTCATATACTTATATACATTACTAACAATTTCTCTCGATTGTGAATGCAACACTTTTCCACTCAATTTACTTTTTGTAGGTGGCATGTTAAAGGAGACAGAAAAAATGTACAAATATAAATAAACAAAAAAGAAAATCAACGAATAAAAATAAACAATAAAATAAAATATTAATTCAGTAAATAGAGAATAATACACTCAAATATGACTCAAGAGTCAAAACTTTTTAACTTGACTGTACAAGGAAGAATGCTTTTCGCTGAACTTGAGATGTCTGCTCACACTGAAAACAAATGAATGACTAATCACAACACCCCAACTGGACCTGCCCATCCACTGTGCAGCTTTTCCTGGACTGTCACTTCTAAATACCAGAATTATAGTGACAGTGAAACAGAGAAGCAAACAGTGAACAAAAACGCAAGTTTAGTGCAAATTCCTTTAAACAAAAATATAAAACATACAACTTCATTCGGGACACGCAGTAGTGTAGTTGGTTGAGGCACTATGCTACATGCCGGAAAGTCGCGGGTTCAAGTCCCAATGAGGTCATTGGATTTTTTTCAATTAACCTAATCCTTCTGGCCGCACTATGGCCCTGGGGTCAACTCAGCCTCTAACAGAGACGAGTACCAGGAATTAATTAAATAATTTTCCTGGGGAGTAAAGTGTGGCCGTGCATAAGGCTGACAACCTTACTGCCAACTTGGAGCCAACTGTCTAGATAATGTGGGACCCTCAATGTCTCACAACCCTATGGGCCTTCATGACCTGGTACAGGGATAGCTATACTTTTTTTTTTGCTCGTCGGTGATAGCCATATCAGAGACTGTGCAGATATGACTAATGATAACTTAAATAAAATGTTTAGTGTGATAGGATTTGTAAAACCAGGAGCAGATATCAACTTCTTGTCTTAAGCACAAAAGATCACTGTGGTCGCAGTGCAAGGGCCAAGAGGGTCCACTCCTTGTATATTCAACATCTTGTCTTCCTCTGTAGAGCTAATGGTCAATTCTTTGACCCACAATGATGTGATTGTCCTTTCAGGTGGAACTTAAGATATAGGGAAAAATAACTCTAAAGAAGGACTAAGAAATATATTGAAATTTGTCAAAACAAATTCTCATACAAACATCGTTTTGTTAACTGTACTGCCTAGATACGACTTGGAAAGTCTGGCATGTGTAATTGATGAGGTAAGAGTTTATAATAGGAAATTAGAGAACTTTTTTAAACATGTTACTTTACTAAACCATGATCTAAATAGAGCTCTCTATTCAAGACATGGGCTCCATTTCAATAAAACTGGGAAAAATGTATTGGCTAGGACTATTGCTCTGACTTGTTCCAAAATCTTCCACAGAGATATGAAACCAATTTATTTGCCTTGGAAGGAAAATAATAATAATTATGATAATGAGACCCACAATCTCTCTGGCATAAATGATCATTTTTGTGAAAATTACTCAAGGGAGGCAAGTAAATCACAAACTTCTGAGCCACTATGCAGATCAAGTAGATTAAAAAATCTCTATTTAACAGACACGATTTTTTATGGTGATGTCTGAAAGTAGGAAAATCATTTTAATGCCTTAAAACTAAACAGAAACAAATGTAATATTAATCATCATCATCAGTAATCTGTCAAGACGACAGGACCACAGTCTCTTCCAAAACAATTCCTCCATTTAATGCGATCTAGACCTTTCTCCTTCAAATGACAGTATCCTCTTCTGTCCCCAAGGTCATCCAGCATCTTCTTACGTCTTCTTGTCACTTCTATCCGCCTCTCTATCTTTCCTTCGATAACTTCTTTTAGAAGGCAGTTACCGCGTAAAACATGACCAATCCAATTAGCTTCCGTTTTCTTATTTTGTGTAGGATATTCCTCTGCTCACTGACTCTAATTAACACTTCTTCATTTCTCACATAATCGGTCCAACTGATCTTCTCCATCCTTCTCCAACACCACATTTCGAAACTTTCCAGATGTTTCTGATCTACCGCCCTAAGTGTCCATGTTTCAGCCCCATACAGAGCTATGCTCCAA